TTGTACTCAAGAATTTGGCTTCATTAAGTTCTAGGAAAAATAATTACAGTTCTAAACAAAAATCATAAAATGATTCAGATTTCAACTGTTAAACAGGGGTTTTGACCTCTATATCTACAGAAACGCCACCTACAGTTAAAAGAAAGCCCATCCTAAAATCCAAACTTCATAACATCTGCAATCATAATTATCAGACTTATGTAAGTATTTCTAAGTTGAAAAATCAGTATATAAATAGTGAATTTACCAGAAGTGACATAAGAAATTTATGAAGATAAACAATCTGAATACAGCCAACATTCAGTGATAGCACACCATCCACTTTCGACATGTCAGTATATGACTCGCCCTCAGTAGCATCTGGATACAAATCCAAGTTAAAACGAAAAACTTCATTTCCCATTATTGACACAGCCTGAAAAACAGAGATATGAATGTACTCTATCTAGGAAGAAAATGACAAAAAAATCCCATTTAGAAAAGGGTTTACATTTACAATCCTTACAGAAACAGACATTTTCTATAAAAATATATTTCATTGATGTTTTTCAAAATAATATATATTGTACAATAGAATCTCATATTCAATCATAAAAAAAATTAAATATCTATTACTATCACCTACTTTTTTATGAATGGTCTTAGGATCAACATCTGTGACAATAATATTTTCCAGTCTGGCAAAAAGTGACTGTTTCCTTGACTGAAGAGAAAGGGAGGAATCAAGCCCTGAAAAAAATTGTATTGTATTGTTAATATTATAATATAAATTGTAATATCAATTGTATTAATATAGTACATATTGATATATGTACTACTGCTCTACCATAAATAAGATCTTTCCATTGCATAATTTATTTTGGGGTAAAATCTTTAAAATTTAGCAATGTCTGAACTCAGACTTGATAAATAAGTTGCAATATTAGATATCTTCAATTTTAAAAACACCAAAATCTACAAACTCATAAAAAGTTATAACCAGAATTTCCAATCTTCTGGAAAAAAAACACATCTAGTGCAAACAGATTATCTCAAGATTTAAGTAAATCCTTTATGCCTTATATCCAGTCATTTACACATAAGCTGTAAAAGTTTTACGAATCAAATTCAGACTAGTAAATACACTTCCAGTTTGGAAAGGACAAAGAAAAAGAAACCTGGCTTTCTGGCTTTTAAGATTTTAAAGAATTTCATTAAATATAATTCTTACCTTTGTCAGATCATAATATGCTAATAAAGATCAGCCCAGAGGAAAAGCTAAATGAGCTTCAGCAGCTTTTGCTTAAAAGTACATAATGGACTGATGGGGTATGTTCTTCATGATAAGGTTGCTTTGCATAAAGATAAAGCATAAATAAGGAAAAATATAATATATAATTATATAACATGTAAATATAATTATATATAAATATAATATATAAAGATAATATAATAGTAAAAGAGATAAAGTAAAGTCCATAGACCTCCACCTGAATTCTGGACTGACACTTCTCCCAGCCCATCAATAGCATTCCTACACTGACATTAATATCCCTTTTCACCACCTAGACAACTTTCAGAAAGGTCCCAAACACTAGGATGTGTGTGTGATTCAAGTGGATAGTCAGATTCTGACCAGCAGCTATACCCTGAAGAGGATAAAGCATGCGGTCTAACTGCGTCCTTCCAGCTTTCACAGCTCAGAGCCCTCCATTTGTATGTTCTTTGGGATTGGGGGAAAAAAAAGAAAAAGAAAATGCTTATCTTTTCACCTATTTTTAATACCATGAGAACTTTTACCTTGAATCTTGATTTCAGCGATATTATTGTTCTCATCGCAAACAATGACACAGAAAGCGTTTAACTTGGCAAACAGCCTGAAGCCAATAATGTCATTATCTTTAGAAGATACAATCACTGAAAATAAAACAAAGCATTCTATCAGAATGGGATTCTAGTAATCCAAACTCTATTAAGGTTTCCTCCCTGTACTAAGTGATTCATGGTTCTGTTTTTAAAAATTACAAAATTCTTAAACTTTTAAAGATTTCAAATACTTTTTTGCTTTATATATTCTGTACAGTTTGCCTTTTTATTAGTGACATATGCTACTGTTGTAATTTAAAGGCAACAACAACAACAAAATACCCTAAAATAAACAGATAAATAAGGACACCAAAACTCAGAGAAGTTAAATAATATGCCTAAGATCACANCAGAGTCAGGATTAGAACTGAGTTCTTTCTAATCCAAAATCTGGGTTCTTGGCCAATTAGAGCCTATACCTAAACCCTTGCCTTCATTTCTCTGGGTTTTGATTTCCTTAGTGTAAAATGTTAGGAAAGACTCTCTATGGAGCTTCTTCAGGAGCCCCTAACAGTGGAGGAAGAGCTCAGTATAAATATGGGTCTTCTTCCCCTATTGTCTACCTAAAGGCAACCCCCCAACACCACCAAAATAAGAATAAAAACATTTTTTTAAAACGATAGTGTTGATTACATTGGCCTTACATATTAGGTGCCAACATACAGAATAAGGCAGAAGGGGGTAAAAAGGCATTTAAATGACTTAATGAGATAATCACTAAGATTTTTTATTTATCTCCATAATTCTCAAACTCTTGCTAACAAGAAACAAAAAAGTGTTTCTCATACCTTTCTGCAGACTTGAATTTTTTTGCTGTTTTTCACTTGGAATTGGTACCTCCTTCGTAATACCCATGTTTTGACCATCTGATGGAATAATGGTTGTCAGGTAATTAATAGAAGAGAGAAGAGCTTGTGTTTGTAGCAACAAATTTAAAGATGAAAAGGCCACCTAAAAATGTTTTAAAAAGAGAATTAGTTCTTCTTGGCCACTTATAACCTGTAGTCTCCATGATGAACCCAAAAGGCTCCCAGCTGGGCTTGCATCACCGCTTTCTACCACTTGTAAGGAAGAGAGAGGAGAGGAAGATTCAATACCTCCTTAAATAAGAAATACATAGAGAGTAAATCACACTTCACATATTTCAGGGGTACATTAGACTATCACAGTAACCTAATTACTCTATTTCCCAAGCAAAATGATCATGAAGCTTATAATCTGCTTCTCTTGGTCATCCTGATATTCAACATAAATATGGCTTCTTGGATCTTCAATGGACTATTTATTAAAATAACATAA